TGGTTGAAACTGGTCACTTTAGGGGGTTTGGGGTTGAGGGTTGAGGGTTTAGGGTTTAGGGTTTAGGGTGATGCCAACTAAAACAAATAAGGCACGTATCCCCCTACCTTGAGATAGGAACGCTTAGGGTTTAGGGCTGGGGCTTGACTGGAAGTTGGCACCTTTCAAAGTTGAACTGGAGTTGCTCTTATGTGATAGCGTTAGGGTTTAGGAGCAAGTCCCTGAAGGAAAGTGTGGGCAAATAAATAGTTGTTGGCAGCCCTAAACCCTAATCCCTAAGCCCGAAAACCGAAACCCGAAACCAGAGCTTGCAAAGCGCCCGGGACGCGAACGGTGATGCTCTCACTGGTCAGGGAGGTGTCGGTGGCAAAGAACTGCCGCGCTTTCGCAATGACCTCCCCAACTTCCCCAACTGGTTCTGATGGTTTCGAGTTTCGGGTTTAGGGTTTATGGTTCTGTAGCGACATGGGGTTGCCAACATAGTGGTGGCGACAGCAGGGGCGTTTGACACCAGCTACAGAGAGTGCAGCAACATCAGGGTCGTATGGATCATTCGCAGACGCAGATGTTTACAGTTCAAGCACGGCGGGGAACAGACCAGGCTACCCTTGCACACATACAAACCTGCAAACCTTACAAGCCTACAAATCCACAACCCTACAAACACCACATACCCACAACACCCACAAAACTCACACAACCACAAGCATACAAGACATTCATTCAGACCAACATGGGTTTGTCGTAGAGGCGCTGGCCGACAGTCGATTGTACAGGGTTGCTGTTGGCCCGGTCGGCCTTCTCACGGTGGCAATGCCAGAGCCTTAGGTTCGGCCCAGTTTAGGGTTTAGGGTTTAGGGTTTAGACTTTGGTTTGGTTACAGAGTCCACTGACGCCTTACTTGGAGAATCATGGATACTGATAACCACAGGTAGAAGTCTTCTTCTCACCTACTTAGAGGACTTATGGGGGCTTATAGGTAGGGATATAGTTCCCCACGAACCTCCAAGTAAACTAGCCCTAAACCCTAAACCCTAAACCTCAAATCCCTAAACCCTCAAATCCCTTGACAACGCCTGCAAAGGTTCCGCGTCGCTCACTTCAACATTCTGGGTGCCTTGGGCTGCAGGGCGCGTTGGCGACTAAACCCTGACCCCGAAACCCTAAACCCTAAACCCTAAACCCTAAACCCTAAACCCTAAACCCTAAACCCTAAACCCTAAACCCTAAACCCTAAACCCTGAACCCTGAACCCTAAACCCTAAACCCCAAACCGGCATCACCCCAAGGCAAGAACATGGCGGGCACGATGTGGCCAAGCCAGCCGTGTTTGGGGAATTTCAGTGGGGGGGGGTGAGAGAGTTCCTCACTGAAGTGCTTGAAGTGGTCAGGGTTTAGGGTTTAGGGGTTTAGGGTTTAGGGTTGAGGGTTAGGCTGTAGGCTTTAGGGTTTAGGGTTTAGGGTCTTAAATCCTAGGCCAGAGATCTGGGGACCCTCGCCAGGTTCCACTACGCCCGAGATTTCCTGCCTGCGCAGTTCGCCTCCTCTAAGTGGGACTACCGAAAGGCCCGAGGGATTTCAAGGTTTGAGGCTGAGGGTTTAGGGTTTAGGGTTTAGGGTTTAGGGTTTAGGGTTTAGGGTTTAGGGTTTAGGGTGGTGATAAAAGACTCCATGTGGGTTTCTGCAGGACTGAGGTTTGCATACACTTTCCGAGAACTTCCCGCACCATGGGGCTGTAGGCAGGAAGGTGGACGGACAAGTGCAGTGGCTGCTACGGTTCAGGTTTTGGGGTTTAGGGGTTTAGGGTTTCGTTTTTAGGGTTTAGGGTTTAGGGTGAGGAGGCCTTATAAGTAGGGTAAGAACTCGGGCAACTATGGTCACAAGCTTTTTCGGGCACTTAAATACAACCCTACTTATAACTACCCATGAACCTTCGAGCAATAACAAGCGACTGCTTGCAATGGCCACCGTGGCAGTTCGATAAAGCGGCAATGTCCCCGAAACCCTACACCCTACATCCAGGCCCTAAACCCTAAAACCCTAAACCCTAAACCCTAAACCCTAAACCCCAAACCCTAAACCCTAAACCCTAAACCCTAAACCCTAAACCCTAAACCCTAAACCCTAAACCCTAAACCCTAAACCCTAGCACCTTTTGTACCTATTCAGCCCCCTAATATGAATGAAGCCCTCAAGGCCCCGGAGCCTCATGCCCGAGGCAGATCCCAGTTTCCCTCAGAACCTGTTGTGGTCGCCGGACGATGGGTGCGGGTCTTAAGGCGGATGTGTTTAAGGCTTTAGGGGGGGCTCAGGCGAGTTTAGGGTTTAGGGTTTAGGGTTTAGGGTTTAGGGTTTTAGGCTTTTAGGGTTTTCGGGTTTGGGTTTTTAGGGGTTTCAGAGGGCTTTAGGGTTCGGCGTGTTTCTCTAATCCTTCAGCCCGATGCAAGTCCTGAACTCGAAGCCCGCAAGCCCCTGCAGTTCGAGAGTCTGGGCTGAGAGCATCATCACATCTTGATTCGGAGAAGACCCTTCATGCGCAACAGCATCTGGAGTGTATTATTTCGGGGTTTGTGGTCTATAGGTGACAGACTTGAGGATTAGGGCTTGGGATGCCATAGTCCTCTTCCTCTGCTGCTCCTATGCTGAGGCAGTCGAGGTTCTACCGCCGCCAGGCAGCCTCTTCGGGAGGATTCGGTTGGCTACAGTGGGATATCCTTAGCAGAAGGACTACTGCTCTGGCCTTGATAGGGGGGAGGGGGGGGGTGGGTTTAGCCCGTCTGTACCCCGAATAGAAATGGAATTCCCATAAAGGACGAGGTAACCCCAAGAATCGGAAACCCCTTATAGGCCCTTGGGCCCTTGCGAGGCTTGTGTCTTGCTTGGGGCTGCCTTGTTCTCGTGGCTACCAGTTTGGTGTATTAGGCGTCCATCGCACACATGAGCCTCATTAAAGTCCGGCAAGCTGGCGTAGTGTTGCCTGCTGCAACGAGTTCCAGAATGTCTGTAGAGGATGATGTGAAACAGGGTTTATATGACTGTTCTATAAGGTTCCTTTTTAGGTTTGGGGAGTGTAGATTCTTGGTGTCCTTTTGGGTATACAAGGAGTATAAACCCTACTTCATGTCGAACGGGATGGCTTAGCCATGTTGGACATGTCAGAACGCCTTTGCCAGGGACAGTCCTTTGTTGCCCTTGCTTGCGGGCCTTCCTGGAGCAAAAACACCCATGAAGCCCTGTAACGCCAAAGAACCCGAAACCCAGATCAAACCCTAAACCCTAAAACGCTAAAGCCTGAAACCCTACACCCTAAACCCTACACCCTAAACCCTACACCCTAACCCTAAACCCGAAACCCTAAACCCGAACAGTGTACAGGTGCTCCTCCAGGAGATTCGCGCCCTGAGCCGGGGGCCTCAGACAGGTTCCGGGGTTTTGACCGGAAGGCTAGGAGTTCATAAGCCTGCAACTTAAGGCTTTCGGTGTCTAGGGTTTAGGGTTTAGGGTGTAGGGTGTTTAGGGTTTAGGGTTTAGGAGCCCCACACCCCAGACGCCTACAGCCTCACGTCAAGGCTTAGGGTGTTTAGGGTGTTTAGTACGGTGTTTAGTGTGTTTTGGGTCTTTTGGGTTAGGGGTTAGGGCGCCCTAAACCCTAAACCCTAAACCCTAAACCCTAAACCCTAAACCCTAAACCCCAAACCCCAAACCCCAAACCCTACAGCCTTAATCTTAGAGGTCCTGCGCCCGAAGCCTTACTCAATCAAATGCGAGGACTGCCACTGCTAGCATCAGACTTCAGGCTCAGCTTGGGGTTTGGTGTTTAGCGTTTGGGTTTAAGGTTTAGGGTTTAGGGTTTGGGGCTTGGGGTTTAGGGTTGGGGTTTAGGGTTGGGGGTTTGGGGTTTTGCCTACAGGTCTTAAGATTTTCTGGGACTCTCCAGTTTCCTTCTGTTGAAGTCACGTGGGATGTATGTTGTAAACCCCAAAACCCGAACGCCGAAGCCCTAAGCCACAAACGTCTCCCAGACCCTAACTCCCGAAACCTCGGCCGGGGTGTCTACGCAGTTTGGGGCTTCCGCAGTTTAAGGTTCTCACCCTAAACCCTAAACCCTCAACCCTCAACCCTCAACCCTCAGCCCTCAACCCTCAACCCTCAACCCTAAACCCTAAACCCTAAACCTTCAGGAGCCGATATTCTCTGCCTCGTGGAGCTGGACTGCTTCGCAGAGTCTGGGCCCCCCAGACGCTTCGATGCGTAGACGCCGGTGCCCCTAAACCTGTAAGGAGTTTGGGGGTTTAGGGTTTAGGGTTTAGGGTTTGGGGTTTAGGGTTTAGGGTTTAGGGTTTAGGGCTAGGTTTTAGGGTTAAGGACTCTTGTGCTCCTAAACCCCCAGCCCTAGAAAGCCCAAAGATCCCTTAGCTTGGCATGTCTGCCCTTGTGTCGTCCGTCTTTGAGACAAGGCGTTCCAGGACACTTCTGGGCCTGGTTTCTTTCTGAGGAACTTAGAGGTGCCATGAAATTAGGGTTTCGGGTTTATTGTTTAGGGTTTTAGGTTTAGGGTTTAGGGTTTAGGGTTTAGGGTTTAGGGTTTAGGGTTTAGGGTTCAGGGTTTAGGGTTTGGGGTTGAGGGCTTCGAGTTTCGGGCTCAGGGTTCCAAAGAAGGATGCCCGAAGATGCAGCGCCCAACTGAGTTTCAGCCCTACAACTAAAGGCGCCCTAGCAATCAAGATCCTCTTGCGAGCTTGCCGCGATGAGTCCGAAGTCCAAAACAACCCGGTGCATGGTATACATGCTCAGCTGGATCAACACTCTCCACACCTGTCGTTTAACCCTAAACCCTGAACCCTGAACCCTAAACCCTAAACCCTAATCTCTTGTGGGTTTTCGAGGTTCCGGGACATCCTAGAAGAGGATGGCTACGATGCGGGGGGCCCCGGCGTGGTAACGCACGGCGCTTATCACGGGAGCCCAGACGACCCCAAGGGCTTGGGGTTTGGGGTTTAGGGTTGAGAGTTTTAGGGTTTTGGGTTTTGGGTTTTGGGGTTTAGGGTAAAATAGGACCCAAACAAGGGTCAGTCGAGGGCTGTTCGCGCCTGAGCAAGGGGGAGTTGGGGTGGAGGTAGGGGTAATTAGGGGTCTAGGTTAGGTAAGGGGCCGCAGAGTTTAGGGTCTCAACCCCACACCCTAAACCCTAAACCCTAAACCCTAAACCCGAAACCCGAAACCCTAAACCCTAAACCCTAAACCCTAAACCCTAAACCCTAAACCCTAAACCCTAAACCCTAAACCCTAAACCTTAAACCTTAAACCTTCGACCCGCATGTGATCTCAAGGCCACTGTGGGAGCATTGCTTCCTTCCCTTGTTGGGCGCGTGGTTCCTCGGGTACCCTGCCCAGAAAGATACCTTCAGAATGGGATGGTTTAGTTTTAGGGTTTAGGGTTTCGGGTTTAGGGTTTAGGGTTTGGGGTTTAGGGTTTAGGGTTTAGGGTTTAGGGTTTGGCTTGTGACTCAGCCGGTGCCCCCAAGCGAACACCCCAGCTTAGGCAAAGCCAAACGAGCACCAGAACCAGAGACGCGCAGCATGCGCATCCTAAATCCTGAGCCCTGTCAACCCTGAACCCTATATTCCTTGTAAACCCTATAACCCTTGCAAACCCCAAAACCCTATAAAGCCTAAACCCTAAACCCTGAGCCCCACACCCTAAGCCCCAAACCCTAAGAAAACCCTAAAAGCCCTAAACCCTACACGCATAAACCCTGAGAAAAGCCTAGAAGTCCCAAACCCTACGACCACAAACCCTACTACCACAAACCCTAAACCCTAAACCCTAAACCCTAGATCCTAAATCCTAAATCCTAAACCCTAAACCCTAAACCCTAAACCCTAAACCCTAAGCCCTAAACCCTAAACCCTAAACCCTAAACCCTAGACCCTAAACCCTAACCCTAAACCCTAAACCCTAAACCCTAAACCCTAGATCCTAAACCCTAAACCCTAAACCTAAACCCTAAACCCTAAACCCTAAACCCTAAACCCTAAACCCTAAACCCTAAACCCTAAACCCTAACCCCTAAACCCTAAACCCTGAACCCTGAACCCTAAACCCTAAACCCTAAACCCGAACCCCTAAACCCTAAACCCTAAACCCGAAGCCCTAAACCCTAAATGCCAAAGGCTGTCTTTCAGAAGCGGCCAGATGATCGGAAGGGCGACGGCTGTGGCATCTTCTGGCGCCGGGAGGTGGGGTCTGTTAGTGGTTATGGGTTTAGGGTTTAGGGTTTAGGGTTTAGGGTTTACGGCTTAGGGTTTAGGAGGGTTAAGGGCGTGGCTGTGCCCAAGTACTCGTCAAGAACTCTTCCACCCCCCCTAAACCCGAAACCCTAAACTTAGGAGCTTCCGGCTCAGGCCGCCGACCCAAGAGGCCCTAAACCTCTCAACGCCCAAAGCTCAAATCCCCCCAACCCCAAACCCTTAAGAAACTCTGCAAGTTGTTTTGGGGGCAAGTGTCTTGGCCTGGCTGCTGCCGAAGCCCGCCAGGGTCGGCGGACCCTAACCCTAAACCCTAAACCCTAAACCCGAAACCCTAAACCCTAAATCCTAACCCTAAACCCTAAACCCTAAACCCGCCCACCACCCCTCTCCATCTGTGGGTGAGTGGGCGCTGTCGAGCGCCAGCGAGACCTTCGCAGGCTCTGCTGGAGCTGCAGAGCCTGCAGGCACACCCCTGAGGGGTCGCCAAGCTAGAGTCGCCTAGCATAGTCCCTATGATATATATTATTACCCTAAACCCTAGATTTTTCTGCTGTCGGAAGGCGCCGCCCCTAAACCCTCCCAGTAAGGGAAGCCTTGAACCCTTCCAGAAGCCTGGCAGCCCCTAGAAACCTGTACGGGTTGGCCCTGGAAGCTTTCAGGAGCCTGGACAGCTTCCAAAACCTTCGAAAGCCCTAATTCTGTTGAAGGGCCACCCCTGCGACCTTTTCACTGCCTAGTTTTGGTCAAGGGGGGGTCGTATTTTTCAATTTTCAAAGCAAAACAGTATTCGGAGACCCCCCTTGGTCAAAACTCTGACCCCAACTTCAAGGGGAAAGTTTGGCTTCTCCCGGACCATTTCTGATTTGGGCTTCAGACCAGTCCCAGACCAATTCTGCTTCCCGGACCGTTTCTGAGCTTTTTTGGGCTCCTCCCGGACAGTTTCTGAGCTTTTTTGGACTCCTCCCGGACAGTTTCTGAGCCTTTTTGGGCTCCTCCCGGACAGTTTCAGAGCCTTTTTGAGGCCTTTTTGGACTCCTCCCGGACAGTTTCTGAGCCTTTTTGGGTTCCCGGACAGTTTCTGAGCCTTTTTGGGCTCCTTCTCCCGCACAGTTTCTGAGCCTTTTTGGGGTTCCTCCCGGACAGTTTCTGCACCTTTTTTTGAGCTCCTCCAGGACAGTTTCTGAGCCTTTTCTGCACCTTTTAGGGCTTCTCCCGGACGGTTTCTTGGAGCCTTTTTGGGCCCTCCCG